GACTGGAGAGAAGATTCTACATGCACATTGCCATGCCAGATGTATAATTCAGACTTAAGAACTAATTTAAACTTTTTTGCAAGGAAGTTTCAGAAACAGCAGTAGCTGCCTAACTTCTACTTTGTGCTGCCAGTTTGACATCTGTATGCAAAAAGCTCTGTGATAAATAGTAATCTTCCAGTATTTTATTAAATATGTAGGATTACAGATGTGCACGAACATGTACACACTCACAGAAGATCAAATCTATATTAGGCCACATGTCAAAACTAGCTAAAGTGCAGCCTAGTCTTCTTTTATTTCCTCCTCATTTTCCTTAGAACCAAAACAGGGGACGAAGCAAAGAGAAATGGACTAGATTCTTTCAGTATTTGCCACTGCAACTAAATCAATTGAGTTTACAATAATAATATCAATAATAACATTAACAACCAATCTGTTAACTTTGATTTTCTGCAAGTCATAGTCCAATTGAAAGAAAATTCCAATAGGCTGAAGAAACCAGATGTCATTGAGCATCGGCCAAGTGTACAGTATAATATCCATTTCTGAAAATTGATACTAAACTTTTTTGCTCTGATCAGAAAGTTGATAGAGGTTATAGTATCCCTAGCATTGAGGATGAAATCCCCAACTATAAATTGCTGGAAAACTCTGCTCAGAAAGAGCAGGGAGAGTGCTCTACAATTACTACCCACCTGCCTTCAATTGAGGACCTGTATACTGCACAAGTCAAAAAGAGGGCTGTGAAAATATTTACAGACCCCTCACATCCCGGACATAAACTGTTTCAAGTCCTTCCCTCAAAACAACGCTATAGAGCACTGCACACCAGAACAACTAGACACAAGGACACTTTTTTTCCTGAATGCCATAACTCTGCTAAACAAAAAATTCCCTCAACACTGTCCAACTATTACAAAGTCTGCACTACTATTACTGTTAATCTTCTCATCACTCTTTATCACCCATCCCCTCCCACTTGTGATTGTAGGACTGTAACTTTGTTGTTTGTGTCCTTACGATTTATATTGACTGTTTCCTAGTATTATTTGATTGCTGATTGTACCCTATGATTATCATTAAGTGTTGTATGTTATGATTCTTGATTCTTAATGAATGTATCTTTTCTTTTATGTATACTGAGAGTATTTACACCAAGACAAATTCCTTGTGTGTCCAATCACACTTGGCCAATAAAGTATTCTATTCTATATTCTATTCTCCCCTCCATTCTGCTTACAGGCCTTTTAAAGGCCTCTCAAAGGCATCTGCTCAGCCACTGCAGGAAATGGATGGGAGATTGAAAAGGTATTTGTGCCAATCTAGCAAGACTCTTCTTAAGACTTTTACTGGCTTGTTTCATACACTCTACTGGCAGTTGAGTTGCTGAGAAGGTGAAACGCATGGTTGTCATTCTGTGTGGCAAAGAACAAACACTTCTACTTGGTTTAGAACAGGGTGGAGGCAGCCCTGAAACCCTCCAGATGATCTGGACTTCAGTTGCCATCTGGACGGAAATTG